TTACCTCCCAAGGTGCCCTCATGTCTATGTTACCTTCTGGCTCTCCCTGTTAGTCATGTTGTCAGAGCTAGTCTTGCCGGAGTCCCTGCTTGCACTCTGCACACAATGTACATTGTCCTTAACCATTACATGACAATAAGCATACATAATAATCTGTGCTTCTCTCTCTCTCTCTCTCTCTCTCTCTCTCTGTCAAGCTACACATGCTACTCCTGAGATATCAGTGATCCTGACTCCTTGTGCTCTCCGGACCTGCCTGATCCAGCCTGATGCCCTACTTCTGGTTGGAGTTCTCATCACTTGGAAACCACTCACTGCTGCTGAGGATGGCCCCACACGATCAGACTAAAGATACATGAGATTACTGTGGATGGTACCACTTAGAAACCATAAAGATGGCTTTGGACTGCAGTTGATACAAACAGTTTTGCAACGACAGCTTTAGGACTGCTTTTTTTTAGCACGAACAGTTTTGCACTCAAGTCTCCATCAGTGAACAGTTAAAAACAGACTTCATATGAAAACTATAATGAATTTCCTGGTTAAACAATTGCCCTTTTTAACCATATAGCACACAGTAATAGAAGGGATTTATTTATACTCGCACTATCCGGTGTCAGCCAGATGAGGCTGGATTCCCTTTTGAGTCTGGTTCCTCTCAAGGTTTCTTCCTCACATCGTCTCAGGGAGATTTTCCTTACCACTGTCACCTCTGGTTGCTCATCAGGGATAAATTTAGAAATTAAAAATTTATATCCTGAGTTTATATATTTCTGTAAAGCTGCTTTGTGATAATGTGCATTGTTAAAAGTGCTATACAAATAAAATTGAATTGAATTGGATATTAGTCTTAGATTATTAGCATCTGCCATACAAATCGCTGTGAATTAACTGTTACTGCAGAAAAAATGTTAGAGTAGAACAACAGAAACAAGAGTTCTGTTATACAAAAATAATGCAATAAAACCTTCTGACCAATCAGATTTGAGAATTCAGCTGCGCTGTGGTATAAACAAAAAGTAATCAACACCTGGTGACCAATCACAATAAAAAGAAAACAGCACTACACCTCTTTTAAGTGACTCTACATGTCTTTGGCTCTTACAGTTTAGGCTTCCATTAGTGTTTAAGCTTTTGACATCATTTCGCTTATCAAACTTTCCCCAATTTTCATGAGTGCATTACAAAATAAAGAGTCGTTAGTCGTAATCTTGTTTCCAAACAAATTTTCACATAGAAGGTTGGAGTACAGTGGCAACTTGATCAACAAAATACAACCGCCTTGCAGTCGGAGTCTAGGCTACTCATTTTAAATCTGATCATCTTTGAAAATCAAACCAAAGAATGGGTATATGTGAATCGAGAAATGTTTATTTTTAAATGTTTAGTGAATTGAGAGTTGTTAAAAATCTAATCTAATGTGAAAAGGCCAAAAATCTTTATCACTCCAATTAGATACACGACATATATATATTTTTAACATACTGTACAGCATTTTATTTTACAGCTAATATAGGTTTATTGGATGGATGTTGGCACTGATGGGAATAACATCTATATTATTCAATAAATGCAATTAAAACATGTTCGGTAGAATAGTGCATCAGTAGTGTAGCTATTGCAGAACACCAGTGACCTGAGCTCGATCCCGAGCTTGGAGTTCGATTTTATTCAATATATTGAAAATACCTGATCAAATCAAGTTGAATGTATGAAAAAAAAATTTTTTTCCCCAGGGCATTGGGTTTTTTTTCCCTCCATGGCATTAACAGGGCAGGGCATCTGAGACTGACCACTTTATACATTTAGCTTTCTTTCTACAGTATTATGTTCTTTAGTCTTTGACAACAGCAGCGATTAAACTCTAAAAAACATAAGAAACTCCAGGTGTTTGAAAACTTTTGACTGGCAGTGTAGCTCATCAGAAAGGGCTAGTTGCTTGCTCAGCTAAATGTGGACACGCTTCCTGACGACGTTCTCATTTTTGAGGGCCTCCAGCCTGAGGCCAGTGATGTGTTATATAAAGCTTTTGAAAGCTGGAGAAACAAGAAGCTAGAACTTTCCAGTGTCTAAGTTCCTTGTACATACAAATTTCTAATAGTACAATATTTCAACATCTTCAGAAGCACTTTGCACAGCTGATTAAGGACTCTCTCTCTCTCTCTCTCTCTCTCTCTCTCTCTCTATATATATATATATATATATATATATATATATATATATATATATATATATATAAAAGCAAGTATGAAACAAATGCACTCCTGAGACCTCCTGTGCCTCCAACGGGGAAATTCACTTATATAGACAGGTAAAATCATGATAATGGTTAAAATGTTTGATGTAGAATTCAAACTAACACATGCCTGGGTGTAAAAAAATTTCCAAAAATATCTTCTGGTATTTTTTTTCTTAAAAGATTACTCATTATTTGGTTATCTGCCACACCCGAAGCAGCCCATCAAGGGTCTGATAACAAGCTCAGAAATGGAACCAGGATTGACAGAGCTGGGAGAGATCGACAGTATTTGTTTAATTCTTGCTAATTTCCTGACCAATGATTTGGTGTAACTAAAACTGTCAACGTAGAATTACCCTAACATAATATTCTTACAAGCTACTGCAACCATTAAAAGTGTTTACAGCCCTTATGGGGATAAGTAGTTTTTACGTATTTACATTTAGCAAGCTAGCAAAGAGCACCCCAAGAATTGTCACTAACTAGGGGATGAACAGGAGAAAAGTTTGAGAAGTAAACTCCACCCACTGGATGTTTGAACCACTGAATTTCTTGCTGTCTCCAATGTAAAGCTGCCCTGAGGACCATTTTTAGCAATTCTGCATGTATATACACACACACACACACACACACACACATATATATATATATATATATATATATATTTTCTTGGTGTTTGTTCTTCAGGTATTAGCTACATAAGGAATAAAACACTTCAGGGTGTGTCGTTTTAGAAAGAAAGAAAGAAAGAAAGAACTTGACGTGACGCTATTACCACCCCTACGCTGCAATAACAGCATGTCTAATGTGTTTTATAGTTGATGGTTACAATTTTTTATTTATTATTGAACAACAGGTCATACTTTTTATCCATTTATAGTCACATTTAATGTTGTGGAACGCCCGCAAGACAAGCTCCTAGTATCACTTACGTTTTAGCAGTTATATATATTCATTTTGTCACCTCTCTTTTTTTCTCTCTCTCTTTTTAACACAGTTTGGGATGTTACCAAGAAGTCAGAAAGCACAACGTCCATTATGTTGAAGATGGAAAATTTACTGACTACTGAAAAATGGAGACTTCTTCCATAAATGTTAATGAAACATCTCTACAGAAAGCTTCACCATATCAATGATTGTATCGTTTTATTTGTTGAATAAAGAACATGTTTTATTAGTCTTAGCTGACGTGAAAATACAATACGCACACTAGCATGACGCCAGTGTGCTGACGTGTGCACTTTGACAGCAAGCTTTGGCCTGTTCACTCCTCATCAGGTGTATCAGTGCCACTGATATGTGTCTTTTCTGTACACTTGTCACATTTTATGCACATCCATCTAAATCTAAATCTACACAGTGCACCACTTAGAGACAGGGCTTAATGCTGTCTGTAGCCTGGCATTGGCTGGTCTTTTTTTTTAGCTGTCACTCAGAATAGCTATAAAAATGACAGCAGAAAGAAGTGGAAGAACCTGACAAGTAGAAATGGTCATAGATAAAGATATTGCAGGAAAAATAGGGTGACACTGAGACATTGGGATATAAGGGGGGCATGCTGTGTGCACCATCTGGCTGCCATTTGTCTGTTTTTTTCTTCTTCTTTTTTTTTCTTTCTGCATTTGTCACTAAAGGGAGCAAATGCTGGGTTGGTCCATGCTCAATGCATCTCTGTCAGCATGTCCAAGTGATTACAGGTCATTATGTGCGGAGACGGACAGTCAGGGAAAGCAAAGTGGCTCAATCTTGCCAGTTCAATGCATCAAAAGGAAGAAGGGTGACATTAAAGCAAATGGATTTATAGATGCACTTATTCATGGATTTTCTATGGATCATGTTGTGCATGTGTCACATGTAGATCCAATACTGAATTTATTTATGTTTGCTGTTTTCATTTGCCACACATGAATGAATAAAATGGGTCTTGAAGGCTAGTTATACATAAATAGTAAGGGTGTGTCTGTATCTATATCTGTATCTGTATTTGTTTAGTTTTGCAAATATTCATATCTGTCTTCATATTTGGTTTAAACCAGAAGTGGGCGTGGTCTGAACAAGAAGTTTTTTTGTTCATGTTTGTTTGTTTGTTTATTTGTTTTTCACATGGAGCCTATCACTGGAAAAATAGCCATTTTCATTCACAAATTATAACAACAAAACAATAACAATAGCAATTTGCAGAATATAATTATTCGAATCCTGAACCAGACAACCCAGTGTTCTGGAAAGCTTTCTATCTTCTATCTAATGTGCCTGAATATCCAAGTTCACTAGGTTTCAAAACAACAACGTCTTTCTCAAATCAAAAGGCTGCTGTTTACTGTTGACAGCAATAGCCATCGAATAACATCCGATCAATTTTACATCAGTTTTTGGGTTTGTTGCATTCAAGAAAGATCAGAAAAGTTAGCTAAAAAGACACACGCTCTGAGATTCTACTATGAAACTGTGACGTGGCGGTGGTGAGAGTCAAAAGAAGTCCTTAAAGCGTCGTTGTATGATTTTCTGGGAAGGTTTTCTTTTAATAATGATGCCGAATGTTCATTTAAGAATGACGAGAAACACATGCAATTAACGTTGTTGTTGTTCCTCTTTCGGCTGCTCCCTTTAGGGGACACCACAGCACATCATTGTCCACTGTGGTTTGGCAGAGTTTTTATACCGGATGCTCTTCCTGACGCAACCCTCCTCAATTTTTATCCGGGCTTGGGACCGGTACCAAGACCACGCTGTTGCACGCAACCCCAGTGGCTGGGGTTGATTCCCTGGACGGGAATCGAACATGGGCTGCAGCGGTGAGAGCGCTGTGGCATAACCACTACTCCTCCAGGGACCCGAACATATAGAATATAGAATAATAATATTTTTAAAATTAAATAAATTGTATGTTTATTTTTTGAGACCCCAGCAGAGATATGCTGCCTTGTGCACAGCTTGTAGCCTACATGGTGCTGCGGCTCTATAACTAAATCAGAAATGCGTGCGCACCACTGTTAACTTGTTTCCCTGAGAAAAATGCGAGTCTCTTGTCCAATGCCTGAACTTTTTGGGCTAGTTTAAATTCTTTTTGTGTAGTTTCCGAGTTGTAGTTATGGTTGGAATTTTGGACATGCCTTTCAAGCGCATATGCGCACCCTTCAAGCACCTCATGAAAGTAAAAACCTTGCATTTGCACGACTTTTGTTTCATCCTCTAGGATCCCAGTCCCAATGCACACACCCGGTCTCAGTGTGAAGCTTAATTAAAAAAAAAAAAATAAATAAAAAAATAAAAAATAGTGCACCTTCTATTTGTATGGAATCACAATAAATTATGTATTCATTAACCTTTTGACTGTGCTTAGAGTTCTGTGCAATTTGGCATTATTTCTTTGTAAGAATTTATAATCAAGCTCTAATAATCCCCCATAAAGCTCCGATTAAGGACCATAATTACCATAATTACACCACTGTCCTGACCAAAAATGGCCTGTGCATAATTATCATGAACAGTAAAAAATTATGAACACTTAAAAGGTAACTGGGGGCTTCATGAAAATTACAATTCCAGGAATGCTCATGTATTATCTCATCATTTATTACTAATTATTAGGAAAAATAACTGCATTTTACCAGTACAAAGCGAACACAGACTTCCTCACTATTCAGGAACTTGTGGATGAATAGTGACCGTTATGTTCTAACATATTTTTAAGTCATGAAGGAATTCTCAAATCTGATTTAATTCAAATCACAGGTTTAGATGAAATACTAATACGTGATTATTTTGTATACTAACAACTCATTCACAAGGACTTGTATGACGGACGCTCTACATAATCTAAGACTAATAATAAAAAAAAATGTATTGTTATTTGACACAGAAAAATGTATAATCATTGACCTGATGAAGGTTTTTTTTGTTTTTGTAAAGAGACGTTTTTTTAAGTATTCATGGAAGGAGTCGCCAGTGTCAGCGTTTTGTAACAGGCAGTAAGTTTTCTCCCACGGGATAGAGGAGATTCTCAGCAATGTCACAAGCTGCCTTTTTTCTTCGTCCTATTAACGCTGAGAGAGAAAAAGACAGGGTGATGATGCATGACTGTTTACAGCTACTATAACATAAGTGATAACAGGAACGATCTAGTTTCACAGACATACAACAACATAAAACATAATTCTAAAAAATGTTAGTGTTGGCACATTGCTCTGGTACATGAGGAGAAACAAACACCACTGTTATTGGAAACTAATCAACTTCAGGATGGTGTCAGCCTGGTGTCACATGACATCATTGATTATTTTTCTACAACAGCACGCCATGTTGTGTTTCTCTCCTTATATTTTTTTCCTTATCTGCTTTATGGTATTGACACGTTTCAGGTTTAGTCACCAAACTACCTATAATACAAGCAATAATTCACGACATCTCAGAATATAACAGTCCATGCTTTTTAAAGGACTAGACAATTGGGTTTAACAGTGTGGTCATTTTCTCCAGTACCCCAGAGAACACAATCACAGATTGAAGACAGAATCGACTTCCTGGGCTGTTGATTAAAAGAATATTCAGGCCTTCTGTGTGAGATGAATCTTTGATGGCTCTTGACCTTGGGTGATATGTTTTGAGGAGAGAGACTCTTGAGACTTGAGATTTCTACACCCTGGAAACATAAAAGACAGTTTCAGCAATCTAATAGCACATTCTTGCCAACTCACATTTTCCCTGTACAAAGTGTATAAATATTGCTGCTTGTTAATACATATATATTTATTTCTCAGTACTACTAGTATGATTATTAGGGGGATGATGGTATACCATAATACATGTGTCTATAATAGAATATTATGCTACAATATTAATATTATATATTCACCTTCAGAATTTTTGGTACCCTTTTGGCAAAAATGATTGGGTAACCCTTTCTATGAGAATCATACACATAATGAACTATGAACATATTCATATCATTTTATAATGCATTCGTAAGGCACTATACACATTGTTAGACTTGCAAAAAATCATTGTACTTAATAACTAATTATGCAATGAGCAATACTTCGCGCCAGTAGAGTGTTTGTTTGTTTGTGTGTGTGTGTGTGTGCTTATATAGTGTGGGTGTGTATGTGAGTGATTCAGTCCAGGTGCGTGCAATCATTAATTGGGTGGAAGTGAATGTGTCAGTGAGTGTGTAGGCTGGGTGTTGTAGTCCGGAGCGGCCATGTTTGTAGCCCGCAAAGCAGTCTGGGAAGTTGAGTCGGTGATTCCGGCATGGACATGACACACCTTTGTAAATCATTTTTACAGTTCTGGGATTTCAGTGTTGGAAAGTAGTTCAAAACACAACTTTCTAGACAGGTGGCACCCCAGCTGAAAAAAATAAGGGGAAATGAGTTTATGAGTGACTTGAATTTTATATAACAAAGACAATTTTCCTTTAAAATAATAGTGTTGTCTTGTCTTTCATCACCGTTGCAGAGCAATATAAAACCCATCACATATATTTCAATGGCTCACCATACCATTATTTTTTTGTCTGTTCTGCCCCTAAAGCTCAATATTGTCTTAGACAATTACACAGACAGTAACCCTTTTTCTTGTCACACACTGATTTTTTTCCTTTCCTATAATAATGTTCAGCGTAATAGGTAGCAGTGCATCATTTAACTCCTCATTCTCTTTCAAATGACCGCTTTCCCTATGACTAATATTCTCAACCAAGCAAAAGTTGGAAAAATAATTGGATTTGCAGGCGATGAAAAAAAAAAACATACGAAAACATGAATAATTCCTTTAGCAGACGCATTAGGTTAATAGAGATGAGACCAGTGAATCTCACGCCAGTGTACGTCTCTAATTCCGAATGCAATATTTTCTGATGTCGACGTCCACAGTTTGGCTCTGTTTGCGGATTGTTTTTTTGCACTTGCTAATGCAGATATTGATGAAAAATCTCGTTCTGCTTGCTGCAGTGTGTGGCGTGTTCCTCATCTTTCTTAGCACTCGTACGAGTTCAGGAGTTGTGAGTCATTTGACAAACTGATGACAAATGGATCTGAGACAGCTGATAACTTTAGGCGATATTGATGTTCGTAAAAGTGCAAGTATGTCGCTTCCTTGCTAGGCTTTTTAATTAGAGCAAGCAAAGGCACGTAAATCAAATACCATGTCTTGTAGCCACATACATATCTGCACTTGCAAATGAAACCCCACATACTGTATAGTCACATTTGGATTGTGGTCATCCACATGTTGTCAGGATTACTGAGGATCTGCCTAACTGTCCTTTGCAGTACAACTGAATTCTAATGGCAAAGCAGAAAATAAGTATTGGCACACGCTGGCAAAACCAAAACCTTCTCATTACATTCAGGAAAGACAAAGATTTTTTTTTTGCGATTTTACAGCTGGGGTATGTTCAGAGAAGCATGCACAAAATCGATATCTGAGAAGTCTCAAAATGATCTCAGCACTAACTGTTATGCATGCTATTACTCTCCAACTCCGTATTGTCCTTTAATGTTCTACCTGCTTCACTTGTATTTATGCTGAACAATAAGGATGTATGCCTCAGCTTTACAAAATGATTCCTTTGATTAGACTGCTTTGATAAGACCAAATTTTTAAAAAAAAAAAGAAAGAAAAGCAATTATATGGATCACGAAACTAGATTCAGTTCTCATCTATTCCTGTCTCTCTTCTTTGAGGGCTTCCCTCAGTCAGGAAAGGAAAGCCAGGCAGAAAATATAAAATAATAATAATAATAATATCAGGTGCACATTAATGAGTACAATGTGCAGACAAGCGAGCATGGGTTGCTTTCCCTGAGGCATGTCTCATGAGAAAGCAAGACCTAACTGTCAGCAAATGTCACCGAATCTCTACTAAAGAATAAAATGAAAACACAAGCACTTGTATGGAAATATAAAAATGGTTAAAAATAGGCCACGGCGGCTGGTTAGCAGTTGTGGCTTTGATTATCACATCGTTTGTGTGAATTTTAACAGAATCCATTTTGTTGTCAGAATTTCTATGAATCTAGCCTGAGACCAGGATGAAAAAGAAAGAAGAAAAGACGAGTGCTCATGAGATTCCAGTTCCAGTGGCAGAATAGAAAGTTCAAGCCTCTGAAGGGAACAAACTGCATCAGAAATTATAAAAGTTTCTCCTCAGTAGGACCAGGCTGGGGGTCTTATTCATCAAAGTGTACGGAGAACACTACGGAGTTCTACATTTATGCGTAAGTACTGCACAGCTGTACGCAATGGATGATAAATCAATGATAAATCCAGCATATTCTAAATTGCTCTACCACATCCGCGCTCGTTTGCTTAAAGACACGCCCCCAAATAACCATACATGGTAACCAGCTTCACGTTAAAAGGCCTGTTCATGGCATCCCCTATTGCGGACAACAGTGAACATCACTCTCAGCAAAGAGATCGCTGAGAACATTACGTAAAAGAAGAATTTACATGAGCCATAAATTATAAGAAGTTACAAATAGTAGTGGTTAACTTATAACTTGTTGCATAGAGCTTTTAGTGAACCTCTATCTATATAACATTTAGAGATTTGCTTGTGGAAATTGTTGAATCGTGTAAAAATCATATGTGAAAAACAAATCGTGTGTATAAATCATATGTTTAAATAAGCGAATCATGTAAAAATCATGCGATAATAAACGAATCATGTGTCAAAATCATATATTTAAATAAATGAATTATGTAAAAATCACGAGATAAATGAAACAGTTGTAAAAATCACATGAAATTTAATGAATCGTGTTAAAATTATAGGTTTCAATAAATGAATCATGTGGACAACATAAAAATCGTGTGATAATAAATAAAA